ATAAAACTATTGAAGACATAGGTGTAGGAAAGTCTTTCTGAATGCAATTCTGGTTGTACAAGAAGCAATACCAAGAATCAACAAATTGGATCACATTAAATTCAAAAGCTTCTGTACAGCAAAGGAAACTACCAGAAGAATGGAGATATAACCGGCAGAATGGGAAACAAATTTGCCAGCTACTATTCCAAGGACTAATATCTAGAATATATAAAGAATTCCAAATAATTGTAACCCCAAATTTAAAGTCCCTTTCAAAAGTGGGTCTTGGAAAGGAATAGACATATCTCGGAAGAAGAAATACAAATGGCCAATAAATGCATGGAAACCTGTACAATATCTCTGGCTATTTAAGAAATGCAAATTAAAACAATCTTCTCTCTCTCTCTCTAGAAAGAATGGCTATCATCAAAAAATAAACCAATAGTAAATGCTCATGAGGCTGTGGGGAAAATGAAACACTTCCTCATTGTTGGAGTGTAAACTGATAAAACTATGATGAAAATCAGTATGGACATTCCTCAAAAAACTAAAAATAGAAATTCCATTATCACCAGCTATTTGTCTTCCAGGTATCACCCGAAAATTGTTAAAGTCCTCATATCACAGCGATGTATGCATACCCACGATTACAGCAGCAAAATTCATAATAGCTGAATCTTTGAAACTACCTGTATGCCCATCAACACATGAATGAATAAAAAAAATGGGATATTTATACACAATGCACTACTACTCTGTCATAATGAAGGATGAAGTTGAGTCACTTGTAGGAAAATGTATACACTTTAAAACCATAATGTACAGTGAAGTAAATCTGACACACCATTTTAAGTATTGCATGGTTTCTCTTAAATAAAATACTCAATATATAAATAAAATATGAAATAAAAGACAGATCATAGGAAAAAAGAGAGAAAAAAGTATTGAAATCCAGCATGGACAATTTATCTAAAAGTTTACCTTGATTTATTATAATTGTCTGATGTGTTTTATATGTTTTTAGCCTACCTATTAGTCTGGTTGTTCGTCTGTATATATGACAGTTAAGTTTATGAGGACTTATAAGATAAATAAATGAATCTGATGCTGACAAAATAGAAGGAGATGGGTTGAAGGGGAAAAAGGAATTGAGATGTGATATATACATGCTCCAATTCCCTACAATGAATGTAATCATTATGTACTACCAACATACTAGCCAAAATTAAAAATTAAGAAATAAAGAGAAATTTGGGTAAAGAATACACACTTGCTTTCTACTATGTTTGTAATTTCTATTGAGTCCAAAAATATTTCTGCATACAAATTTAAAAATGTCTTCATGATGAAATTTATTAAAGTACAATTAGCTGGCCTAATAAGGCACTAATACAATGGACTTGCCTCCTATTTTTCATATGTAACATACTATGGAGGAAATCTTCTGATGTACCAAATCTTAACTGCCAATGCTATACATTGTTATCAATTCTAATCCACAATTATGAAATAATTTTCTATTTTAGCTTTTCTAGCATAAATATCATTCTCTGGCTTTGGGAAGTTCAAATACAAAACTTTCAGAAGCCTGTTTGGAAAAACATGTGGTATTTTTTCAACCACTGCACTGAATCACTCACCAAACCCAGCTCTCATGTGAGACATTCAAAAAGACTTGCCTACAGAAAGACAGCTGCATTATTCCAGTCTAAAGGCAGCAAAGAGAAATTTGTATATTGTTGATAAGGAATGTAAATTAGTCTAGCCATTTTGGAAAACACTGTGAATTTTTTTCAAAAAGCTAAAAATATAAATACCATATGATTCAACAATTTCACTTCTGAGTATATTTTAAGGAATTGAAATCAGTATGTTGAAGAGGTATCTGACTTCCCATGTTCACTTCACAATTTAATCACAATATTCAAGATATGGAAGTATCTTGCTAAAGAAAAAAGTCCTTTCAATTATAACAGGACTGGAACTGAAAGACATTATGCTAAGTAAAATAAGCTAGCTATAGAAAAATAAATCTCATTTGTTGCCTTCAAAGAGTAGAAAGATGGTTACTAGAGGATTGGGAAGGTTTAAAGAGAAGGATAAAGTTGTTTAAAGAGTACAAATTTTCAATTACACTGAAGGGAAAGTTTTAATTTTGTTTGTTTTTGGCTTTTCTCCGGTACCGGGAACCGAACTCACGACCTTGCACTTGCCAGGCAGGCGCTTTGCCGCTGAGCTAAATCCCCAGCCCCTGAAGGGAAAGTTTTAATGACTAAGTGCATTGTATAGTGACCTCAGTCAATAATATTGTATTGTGTATTTCAAAATTACTAAAATAATGTTCCTAATGTTTTTGGTACAAAAGTGGTGAGATGATTGATATGTTAATTGGATTGATTGAATCTTTCCACAATTTTTACATAGATTAAAATATCACATTATATATCACAAATATGCATAATTATTGTCATTGGAAGTAAATAGTGAGAAAATAACTAACTAAAATAAATGAATTTATATAAATTATTGAAGTATGCAACATTTTTAGTTGAGTATAAGAAGTAAAATTATACTTTTTCAATCAAAATTTTAAAATTTAAAAGCTGACCACATGATTGGTTTTGTTTATTTTCTAGGCTATTCATATGTATGCTCATAGGTTATTTGTTAGGTTATGGAACATATACATTATAAAAACATTACAAATAAGTAGACAGAGTGTGTAAATTTAGTAGATTTTCCATTACCTTGTCTTTAATATCTCCTTTTTTATTCCCTTGCTCCATTTTCAGTCAATAAGTACCTTTTGAATAACCAATCTTCTTTGTTTGACAAAACAGAGTAACTGGTTGATAAGTGTAGCTTATAAACTTGTAACTTTTTGCCACTACCAGAAACATTTGCATTTCAAAAAGCAAGAATTTAGAGGAGCAGTAAGTAACTTTGGGGAATACATTCCTAATAGTGCCTTTTCTGGTTAAAGACAGACACTCAAGTAAGTCTATGAAATACATCACACTCAGGGTGCCTTCTTCCATTTTTGAAATAATATGCTTAAACAGTGGCTATTCTGTAAGTCTAATTCTATAGATATGATATCATTTTATCATCCTTGAAACATGAAGAAGTATTACTTTTCCAATCATGAGCAACTATTTTCACCACATGTAAAAATACTTCATGATGTAGTAACTTCTTTCTCAGACTTCTAGGACACCTACATTCAAGGCTACAAAACGAGAAATATCCTACAGAATTCACCAACAGTAATTCGCTCCAAAGCCAAGGCTCTACAGTTCAAAAATCTAGTCCCTACTAAGTACTAGCATTGGCATAAAATATGCTGTTAAGCACACATGCAGAATTCATTTCCCCCTCCCCCCACTCTGTATCAGCAGTTGTCTGAATAACCAACTACCTCCTAAGTAAACTTGTTTGGTGGGTGGGGAAGGGGAATCAATTGGTAAGAAAAATTCCACCCAGAGCTTTTTATGACTGGCAAAGATGTCCCTTTTTTAACCCTCTTGTCCAAACTTAATTTCTGAGGAAGCTAAGCCGAATGAGGAGTGCTGATCTCAGTTCTTCTGGAGGGTCCCAGAGTCATGCAGCTGCTTTGCTTAACTAGATTTCATGTGCTGTCCTAAGTCTCAGTCACTTTGTAACTACGTCAGTGAAGGAAAAACCCCACCTATGGTTGTGGTCAGAGAGATTAATCAGAGCTTCTTTCAATATCCAACATTCTGGTGCCACTTGGCAAGCATAATATGCAGCTAATGCCCTCCTGTGAGTCATCCTCACATAGTGTTCAGCTGTTAGTTACATTTTATATCTCAAAGAAAAAAAAACTTACCACTTTAACAACTAGGACAATGAACTCTTTATCTTAATACTTCACAGAAAAAGTTCTCTGAGGCATCCTTTTAAAATTTTAGTATCTTCAACTCTAATCTTGGGAGTCAGGATATAAATAAAACACACTGATTTTTTTCATCAGGAAAAGTTTGTGATGACTAGGTCTCACTTATATCTTAATATGACTCATACTCAGTTTACTAGAATCATAATTACCTTTACATATTGTTAAATAATTTTACATATTTATAATCAAATTTCAAGTGTGAAACTGGCAGACATTTTTAAAAGCAGCAAGTTGTTTATGTCTGGTGATGAAAAGGAGAATTTTCTTCTAGAAAACAATAAAGTACCTAGAGACACTTTCTAAAATCTTTCTTATGTTTTCAAATTAAAAATATAAGAAATGTTCTTTGTAAATTAGAAATAAGCTCCACTAAAATTTGACAGCTGTACTAGCTTCTAGGTCTTGAGGAAAATCTTTTTTGTGCTATTTAAAGCCATATATCTCTCCCAGGAATGCCGGCATGGAAAATGTCCCAATCCAAGAAAACATGACAAGTTTCACGAAAAGATTTAGGCATTTAAATGTATTTACTATGTGAGGGCTGCTTAATTCGGTTGACACAAACCATGGATTTAAATTTTTAAGTTTCTTTTTCTCTATGGCTCACAAGAATAGAAATGTTCTTAATCAAGCACAACCTTAATTTTGGCATAAAATCGTTAGGATCAGTGTTTAATATAAGCACAGACTCCTGGTTTTTGCCAATGGCAATCTGAATTGTAGAGAAAGGAACTCTGTATCTAGACAGGCACATTTCCTTTCACAAAGCATGCAGCAGTTTCAGTAAGTATTTTAACCACTTGAACTTATAAATAGATATTACCTCACTGGAGTCTCCATTCTTCATAATAATACATCCCCCCGGGAGCTAAGATATTAGCAATTTCAGAGTTATACTTTCAATGGAAGCAACAGAAAGTCAAAAGCTCATTTTCAATAAACAGAGATTTTTAAGTTCTATTTTTGAATGTATGAAAAGAAAGACAAGTACCTTACCCTTTCTACTCAGATATCCTGTGGAGAACTGCTGGCTTGTACAGCTACAAGAGGAAGTCACATAGTTTGTTTAACAAAACAGGAAAAAAACAAAATCATTTACCTCTAATGGGAGGTAGAACTGCTCCTCAGCATCACTCAGTTGTTTAGGAAAGCATTCCCATCAGAGGATTCTGTGGGCAAAGAAAATTCAAATTTTGGCTTTAATAAATTCAGAGTTTCCATGATTTGTACATTTCTTTAAACAGGAACAGAGAATCTGACTTTAATTTGCCACGTACTACCATAGTTTTCTCATTACATCCTGAAAGTTTAAAATGTGGGCTGTGCAAAAACTGAGCTTAACTTTCAGAATTTTACTTTGTCAGAAAAAATGAGCTGTAATGTATTTTAAATGATATTCACTTTTCAGAATAACTGAAAATGTCACTTTATATGATGATTTCTTATTGTTTATCCATCCTATTTTGTTTTTACCCTGAGTTCTCCCTGCTTCAGGCTTACAGGGGGTCTACTCCTTGGGGAAATTGATCTGTTTTACTCACAAAGCTATAAAGTATCTATTCCGTAGTTTGCCAGACTTACAAAAGATATTATTCTTCTTGATATCATTATACTTCATGGTTATAACAGCTGCTCTTTCCATCTAAAAGCATAAATGTTCATATGTCTTTGGTATGGTGCTTGGAAAGAAAATATGTCAAAAATGCACTGTACTTCCTGCTACACACACTCTTGTCTTGCACTATTATTATCTTTTTTCCTTCCTTTTTTACTTCTCTGTGTATGCATGAGTACATATGAGTCAAATTTGAGATTCAGGCCTGCTTTATGAGGTAAATACTTCCAAGAGCTATTAAAGTACTTAGGTCATATTGCTATGTTTTGCCATATTCTCCTTTTAAAGTATTAAGGGATGTTTGTAGTAGGAACTTTTTCAAGAATCAGGGGAAATCTTCCTGGATCACCATGATGGTATGACTTTAAGTCACTGGAAAAATTGTGCTTACCAACAACTCCCATAAATATTACTAAATGTTACTCCTTGAGATATACTTTTGCTATAAGATGGGTATCACTCCATACACTTAACTTCGAACATACTAACTGTAACATTTTAAATTATTGAAATCATGTTGAAAATATATAGTTTATGTAGCCTTACAAATGGATGGAAGACGACTAAAATGCTTTAAAATGGAACACTTGCTCTAAAAGAAGTATTAAAGATTTCAAACATATTTATCACATCATGATCTTCACATTACACCAAATGTTCACTAATAATAATTTAACATAACATTGCCTGAAAACATTATTAAGTGGAACAGAAACAAAGCTTTGAAACCAAAACTTTCTCCCTCAGAATGTTATCTTTACTACTAAGTACAGTTATATTGCATGTATATAAGATTTTTACTAGTTCCCTGGGAGCTTCTTTTACACTGTATCTTTTCCTCTTGGACATAAAAGTTTTTTGTATCTGTTTATACTATAAAAGAAAAAGCATATGATCATTATAGTGTTGTAAACAATGAAGCCTCAAAAATATAGCATAAAAGTATAATGTAAACAAAGTCAAAGCCACTTCATACAGTAGTGCAACAGAAGGCTGATAATCTGAAATATTCATGGCAGCTAAAACTCAGGCCAGGTAAGTAGTGATCCCAAGCATAGTGTTCTTTCATCTGGAGGAAGATGTTTAGTTTTGTAATTCACAGACAGCAAGTCTTTTAACCAGAGAAATTTTTCAGATTGGAAAAGACATCTCTTGACAATTTTATAAAGCATCCATATGTACTAGAGATGACCCTGATAGAATATATTATTTGAACATAATCTGAAAATAGTATAGAAGTATATTTTTGAAAGAATGAGTCTGAAGGCAATGTAATCAGCCAGGATTATTGTAATAGTCCAAGCAGGAGTAGATAAGGATTTGTGAAGTGTCCTGAACAGGGTAGGAACAACTATAAATTGACATAAGAAAGACTAAATACCAAGAAGCGAGATAGGTTATTTGAAAAAGACAGAATTAATATTACATCAATACAATGGAAAAATATGAGTTGTTTTAGGAAGTAGCTGTGATTATAATATAATAGCCCTACTAATAATGAAGATACTCAGAACTAAATTTGCTGTCTCAAATTGATTCTATAGACACTGGTGAGCCACTGCCACCCCTTCCCCACAAACTTGGGAACCAAGAAGAGCCCCGGAAAGCTTCAAGGGCCTGAGGTCAACTCCCTGCCCACCCGATTGGAGGTGAAGTGAACCTCAGACAGCTTTGGAAATGCTGGTGAGGCACTGTGACCCCTACCCCATGATCTTGGGAGCCAGGCAGAGCCTCAAACAGCTTCAGGGGCCTAGGGGTTCACTTCCTGCCCCCTCTGCACCCATTGGAGCTGAGCTGAACTTTGGAGAGCTTTGGGAACACCAACGAGCCAGCCCTGCCTCAGTTCCACCAGTGTGGGAACCAGGCAGAGTCACAAACAACCCCAGGGGCCTTGGGTGCCAATCCATACCCCTACCCTGCACCTTCAGGAGAGCTAAGCTGAACCTCAGACAGCTTCAGTGGCCTCAGTGACTGCATGCTCAATTCCCCCCACTGGAGTGGAAACTGAGTTGGGACCCAGGCAGTGTTTGGAGCCTCAGTGACCACAACATGTCCACCATTACACCCCAGTGGAAACAGGGCTGAAATTCAGGCAGCTATGGAAACCCTTGAGTAGGAGCTAAACTGAGTGCTGGACAGCAGTGGGAGCACTAAGGATCACACTCTGCCCAAACACACAATCAAGGCAGTGACACTGAGCACCAGGGAGTTTGGGGTCCTTGCACCACCACTCTAACATCATCCTGGGAGTGAGGCTGAGCTCCAGGGAACCTCTGGATCTCTGAAAATGACAAAACAAAAGAGCAAAATGCAATAGCAGACGTCCACCCCACCCAGAAGTAGTCCAGAAGATATCAACACAGAAGAGCTTGGAAGTTATACAACTGAAATTTCTGAATTGATAGCAGCTGAAGTAAAGTAACAATGCCATCAGGCAATAGAAGACATCAGATCAGAGATAATCTCTCAGGTAAAAAAAGAAAAGACAACAATAATTCAAGAATTTCGTAGCACCTCTAAAGACATAGAAATGAAATAGAAGAGCATAGAAAATTAATGGAAACCCTGAATGATCAATATAAGAAAGAATTGGAATGCATGAAACAGATGCAAACAGATACCCAGGAAATTAAAAATTCCAACAAAAGCCAGGAAAAATGCTTAAACAAAGCGGAAGATAAGACTTTCAGGCCTTGAAGACAGCATTGCTGCTAATGACCGTGAGATGAAGAATCTCTTATAAACAATAAGAAACCAAGAAATGAAAATTCAACAGCTGCAAGATGAAGCAAAGAAAAACAATGTATGATTAATACATATCAATGAAACTACAAGTGTCAGCACAAATGACATAAAAAGACTATTTGCCGAAGGAATACAAAATTTCCCAAACAAGAAAAAGAAAGACATCCAGGAAAGGGAGGCATATAGAACTCCGACTAGCCATAACCAAAATAAATGTACACCCAGACAAAAAGTGATTGAGATTGTACAAATTCAACAAAAGAATACAATATTACAAACTAGAGAAAAGAAGCAGATTAACTATAAAGGAAAGCCCATCAAAATCATGGCAGATTTCCCAACACAAACCATATAGTCAAGAAGAGCTTGGAGTGGAATATTTCAGGTCCAGAAAGAAAATAACTTCCAACCCAGATTGATGTACCTGGCAGAATTATCCTTTAAATTCAATGCAGAAATAAAATATTTCCATGATAAAGATCAAGTGAAGAACTTCATGAGTGCCAAAGCAAACCTACAAAGAGTACTAAAAGATATTCTAGAAAGAGATTTTTAAAAGACCACAATTTCAAGAATAAGAGAAAGGAACCACCAAGCAGAGCAAGCAATTAAACAGAAGGAAACAAAAGGAACCAACAGCAGGAAAATAACATGACAAAGATAAGACAAACATATCAGTTATAACCATCAATGTAAATGGTCTCAATTCACCAACCAAAAAAAGTAGACTGACAGAGTGGATCAAGAAACAAAATCCAACAATATGCTATATACCAGAAACATATTTAACTCAAAAGGAAATTCATACACTGAAGGTTAAAGGATAGAAAACAATACTCCACGCAACATGAACCCAGAGAAAAGCACATGTAGCTATTCCATTTGCAGACAACATGAACTTCAAACCAAGAATGATCTAAAGAGATAAAGGCCACTACATACTTGTGAGGAAAAAACTTCAAAAGGAAGAGGTAAAAATCATAAACATCTATGTACCAAATGCAGGGGCACCCAACTATATAAGACAAATTTTAACAGACATGAAAAATGAAATAAGCAGCAACACAATCATAACAGGGGACTTTAACACACCATTGTCACAAAGAGATAGATCAACTAGACAAAAAATTAGCAAAGATAAACAGAAGTAAACCAAACCTGTGAACAAATGGACCTAGTAGATCTGTACAGAGTGTTCCACCCAACAGCATCAGAATACACATTCTTCTCAGCTGCACATGGGATATTCTCTAAAATACACCATATGCTAGCACATAGAGCATGCTTAAGTAAATGCAAAGGAAATGAAGTTACCCCATGCATATTATCAGACCATAGTGCAATTTAATTGGAAATTAATGACAAAGGAAATCCCAAGAACTTCACAAACACATGGAAATTAAGTAACACCCTCCTGAACAATCAATGGGTCACAGATGAAATCAAAGAAAAATTAAAATGTATGTACAATAAACTGAAAATATAGATATAACTTATAAGAACCTGTAGGATGCAATGAAAGCATTCCTAAGAGCAAAATTTATAGCAGTGAAATCTCACTTCAGAAGCACAAATAAAGAATCTTATGTTGTACCTCAAGCTTCTAGAAAAAGTAAAACAAGTCAAACACAAAGCCCAGAGAGCACAGGAAATTATAAAGCTCAGGGAAGAAATGAATGCAGTGGAGACTAAAAAAAACAAAGAATTAACGAATCAAAGATTTTGTTATTCGAAAAAACACATAAAATTGATAAACCCCTACCCAACCTTATTAAAAAAAGGAAAGAAAACCTGAAATACATGCAATAAGGAATAAAAGAGATGAACTCACAAGAGATCCTTGAGAAATTCAGAAGAGCATCAATACCTAC